TTATACATTCACAACTTAAGAATATAAATAATGAGCAAGTTTAATTTTTAAAAAAAAAAAATAAAATAAATAAATAGATATTTTGCTAAATGAAATTAAATTTATTTATGTTACAAGTTGAATTATCACCAATATTTTACGTTGTAATCAATCTAAGAATTATTTTTTTTTTTAAAAAAAAAAAAAGGAAAAAAGAACGTAAATGTTTTTTTTTTTTTTAATGAAAATATTGCTTAGTAATAATTACGAATTAAAAAAAAAAAGAAATTTAATGATACAATTCATGACTTTTTTATATACACTTTCAACCGTTATTTATCTACGACGTTTTGATTTTAATTTACGAATCTTCTTCTTTTGCTCCTTCAGAACGAAGCCTTTTAATGCTTCTTCATATTCCATCATTTCCCATTTTTTGCAGAACTCGGTCGCTGCAGCTATAGGATCATCATCCTTTTTGATTATAATAGGTTATATATTAGAAATGTTTAATACCAATAATGAATAAAGAAACTTAAAAAAACTTACAATACGCAAATGCAATATTTGCCTTCCATATGATTGTGTTTCAATCGTTATATGGATAAGGAATTCACTGCCATTGGTTTCTGGTTTTGTGTAATTTGGATCACTATCTAAAACAGCCTGAGGTCCATTGACTTTATCCTCATTATTTTTGTTATTAACATCAGGTGCAGACATATTTGTAATTGCGGATTCCATATTTGCAAGGGACAAATTTTCACAACGGTACTTGGGTCGCGAATCAAGGGTACCGGTTCGTGAATTAAGAGGCGAACTGTCATCGACAGTTTGATTGATGGTACTAGTATGAGCTGGCAACCCGTTCGAATCTTCAAATGTTTCGAAATTCCTGACCTCAGGTTGAGCAATTTCGGAAATCTCGAAAGTTCTAATTTCAGACCGAGCAACTTCAGTGTTATTACCTCTTTCTAAGTTCGCGAGAAACATATCCAATTCATCAAAATTAATCGAATTTCTTTTCTTATTAGTTTCTTTTTCATTTTCTTGTGATGGTTTCTCTATTGGAATCATTCCATTAGAAGATGTAGGTGGTTTATCGTCGTCATCAAATGATAATAAATTGAAATCTGGATTATTCATTACATCCAAATTCGTTGACACAACAGGGGGACATGTGGAATCGGATAGAAGATCGTTTACATTTAAGTTTGACATTTCATTATTGATCGCACCATGGATGTTATGTGGATAATTTGAATTTGAATCCACGCATCCAATGGTCGATTCAAGTAGGTTGATCAATAAGCTATTGTTTTTGGGTGCTTTAATAAATTGATTATGTTCGGTCATGACGTCTGTGGTTCTCTCTATTAATCTATCCGATGAAACACGATTTGCCGAAGAATAATTATCAAAATTATAACTTCCTCCATACGAATTTGCAGGTACAATTCCGGACTCTTGTTCATCATCATTTTCCGAGCTTTTCGAGTCAGATAGGGAAGGCGGATCAAGATTGATAAGGTCATCGCATTCTTCCGTTTGCTTGGGCTGACGCCATTCTCTCTCAAATTTCCATTTCGGATTACCTAAACGTTCTAGAGGACATTCGGCAGGAACAGATACAACTTTGGTCGTTCTGGTGGACTTTGATTGATTGAAATCAGTTTCTTTTGAATCTATTCCATTCTCATTATCTGAAGGGTCTGAAATATTAATTATCATGTCCTCTTGTTCAATTAAACCACGTTCTTCTCGTTCACGACTATGTTCAATATTTTCATTCCGAGAAACATTATCTGAACCTTCAATTCCCTGACGTTCGATACGTTGAGTTTGAGTTCTCGTTTGTCGAACTTCTCTACGACTAGAACCGTCAGATGTATATTCAACGGTTTTCTTTTCTTGAGTTATTCTCGATTCCTCGCTTACATTAACCCAAGTACCATTTTGCATTGACCAAAATGTCGTTTCTTTCTGTTCTTCAATCAAGTCAACACAATATCCTTGCCTTGAATCATTCCATGGAATGCACTTTGCTGGAGGGGCTCCCCACCCTTCATTATCATCAAAGTCGTGTTTAAATGGAGTATTACGCCTTTTCTGAAAGAATGGCTTGGGATCCTGAATAGGCGTCCAAACACGGGTATATATGTCTAGTGGATTCCAAACAGGAGTGGCAGGGGTTTCGGGTTTCTTTGTTTCAGTCTCAGATTTCCATTTCTTAGGTTTACCCCAAGCAGAGGCAAGATTCGTACTCATTGGACCCCAAGCACCAAGGTCTACTTCAGTATTCTTTTTTGAGTCACTCTTTTTAGCAGATTCTGATAGAGAAGGCCATTCAGAAGAGTATTTCTCCGAACTTTTGGTTTTGTTTGTATTCTGAACTTTCTGAGGTGCAACTTCTGGTATAGCTTTAATACTGACGGGTGAAGAAACAGATTCTCGCACTTTATAGTCGATAATATCTGGATTCTTTTCAATTTTATTTTCTGACTCGTTTATATGATTAATTGTGACGTTCTGACTATCGTCTATATATTCATAGTTATTTATATTATTAACATATGATGGCTGAATGTCAGTACTAACTTCGTTCCATGATTCCGGTTTTTCATATACATTAGGTGCATCCCATCCATCAACAAATGAATGATTACTTTTTATTGCAGAAGTAGGCTCTGATACATTTTGAGCATTCGTTTTATCAGTGAAACTTTGTATGGGTTCATAAGATGTTCCAATATCTTCCCAACCTCCTAGTTCCTCTTGCGATTTATTAATACCTAAATTACTCCAAGAATTACCCATCAACGATGTAGATGGAGGTTCAAGTTCTTCATTAGATTCTTGCTTACGTTCATTATTATCAATCACGTAATGATTTGGTGAAGAAGATGGGGATATATCAATTAATCTTTCTGTATTAGGGTGTTTATTAATATCCTGAAAAATATAAGATTGTGAAGCGGTGGAAAATGATTCATCAACATCTTGAAATTGTTTGTGAGATTTATTTTGACGTTGATCAGATTTCAATTCCATATGAGTTTGTCGATTTTGATATTCAGGCAACAAATCACTTTTATTATTTGAACTATCCTTTGGGCATGAGTAATCTGGCCAACTTAAATTTTCAAAAATTGAATTTGCTATATGTACATCTGAAGGTTTTGAGGTTTTTCCGGCAATCGATTTACTTTTTGAGTTTTCCTCTTGAACTGTTGGAGGTTCGATGTATAAGCTGGGTAATTTAACATTAATCGATGTCGCCCCATCATGCGTTATTTCAATAACGGAGGACAAAGAATCTATCATATACCGAAAATGAATAGATTATAAAAGTAACGATATTAATTACTTGGTTGGGCGCAGCATAAAATTCATATGGTCATTTGTTTGGATTCATACCTTTACGTTTATTTTGTTTACTTTGGAAGATTTTGAAATTGTTTTGTTCCATTACCGAACTTAAGGCAGTTTCAATTTCATCTGCTGATATCCCCAATTGTGCCGATAAGGAACTACTTAAATTCTGAATATTTTTGTCTTTTACCGGAGAAGCTCCAGTATCCGTCATTTGTGAATGTACAAAATATGTTTAAGGAAGAAAAAAAAAAAAAAAAAAAGGCAGAAAAAAAAGAAAAAAAAAAGAAGAGAAAAAGAAAAGATGGGTAAATGAGCTTTAATTATTTTTGGGTTCAATAAAATTTTGCTTAAAAAAAAAAAATTGATTTATATAATCTAGCAATTTAATCACGTTTTAAGATACTACTCCGCCACCATTTATCCTTTTTTGTTCCTTTTTTTAGCAATTATCTTGAAATTACACATCATTATTGTTCTGCAAAATTTTGATTGGTTATTTATATGAACAAGAACGGGACACAAAAGCATTTTTTTTTTTTTTGATTTATTCATATTGGATAGGTCGACTTACCATTTTCAGTTAGAGAATTGATCGACACACGCAATTGAAAGTTTGGTTTCATTGTTCATTTTTCATGTATATGAAGGGAAACTTTAAATCCGAAAATTTTATACGAAAAGTTTACAGAAATGTACAATTATGAGAACTTTAATAATGTATTGCAGAAAATAATAATTCTAATTGTTATTGATGTATTTATATATATAATAACTAATTCCCAGCACTGAATATGTGATAATATATACCACCACTAATGAAATAAATTTCTTTAAAAATCGCAAACAAATAAGCTTGCTTTATAAAAGTTTTTTTTCCTTGATTAATATTATTTAATAATAACAACCCAATTCAACAACAAAGTCGTTTTTCTTTTTCTTCTTTAATTAAACATACCAAAGCAGGTTCCACAACGGGATTTGTAACCTTCCACAAATCACAAAACTCACTTGCCAAATCCGATGGATCGTCATTCACATGAACTTCAATGGCCTGTGTTGTATCTTCTGACAGCTCAACATTGATGGTAAGGAGTAAATGACCTCGATCAATAAATCTTGACATAGACGAAATCACCTTCTTCTTCTTTGATTCTTGATATCGATCGAATTCATCCACTGTACAAGCATCACTCTCTTCTTCATAATCATTTTGATGATGTTCAAAATCGTTATCCGGTTCATAATTTCCCTCATCAATAGTATTCTCCCGATCATCTCGTACCGATTCATTATTCCCATTTGTAGGTAAATGTGATGATTTATTTCGGTACGGAGTTGAGTCAAATTCTGGAGGGATATACGGTAATTCGAATTCCTGTACCGGCGAGCGAACAGGCTGATACTGATTTGTAACTACCTCATTTGTTGAAGGATTTCTAGAAGATGATGGATTTTGAACAGTATGAGGAGTATGTGGAGGACTTGATTTAGTGGGTATTTCCCAAAAAGGAGTATTAACCAATTCCCAAGAACGTTGAGGTTTGGAAGAAGGTGGTGTTTGTGACGTTTTCTGTTGCAATTGATTATTAGGCGTTGACTGTGTATTTTGTCTTTGGTTTTGAAGAACTGGCGCTTTAGCTGGGACCATTGTTTCGGGAGTTTTCTGAGTGACAGGTGGTTTTTGTGATACATTCGTCTTTGGAATGTAGGGATTATTAGGTAGAAATGATTGCGCAGATGATTTTTGAGGTGGCATTATATGAGGTTTTTCTTCCTGCTTTGTCGGGAGGTTTTTTGGTTTTGGAGTTGTAAACTTTTCCGAGCGACTTTTAGGCTTCTTGTATGATTTACCTTTTTGTTGTATGGCAAGGACGGTTGCTTCATCCACAGGAATAAAATTTCTACCTTGACGATGTAGCTGACCCCCACCTAAACCATCCTCTCGATCTTTACTATTTGCTCCAAGGTTATGCCACGCCGATAACTTCAACTTTATCGTATCTTCTTCAGAATTTTGATCCGTTTCCGTATGAGATTCAGATGTTGAAGGACTCTGTTGAGATGTAAATTGTGAATGTTGTTGCTGCTGTTGCTGTTGCTGTTGCTGTTGTGGTGGTTGTTGTTGTTGTGAAGGTTGTGGTGTTGACCATCCACCAAATTGATCATTATAACCCTGATTATTGTCCCATGAATTCTGATGTGAATTAATGTTCGCGTACGTGTCAGTTTTATTGTTCGACCCTTCTGCGACTATACCGTTATTTAAATCAGGATATCCACCTCCATTAACTGTATAAGAATTTATAGCAGGATTTTGATATCTAGTATTATTCGTGGAATAATCTGTATCATTCCAGCTATTGTTCCACGAGGCTTCTTCTTTCTTTTTATTCCAGGCATTACCATCTTGATTGCTGGTAGAACTGCCAGTGTCCCCCCAGTGTGTTCTTGAATTCTCTTCGCCACCTTTGTTCTTATATCCGTCAGTTGTGCCTTTTGTATCAACGGGACTTTGGTTTCGATTATTACCTTGGTTTCTTCGAGAATCATTACTTTGGTTTTCACCATTTTCTGGTGTGGAAGGCCAACTTGAGGCAAGTATCGCTCCAGAATTGTTAGCGACAAGGTTCTTAAAAACGTCGATTACTTCGTCAATTTGTGTTTGTTGCTTTGGATTGCTGGCTTCATTATTTAGGTTTTGCATAATTAAAGAGATGATAGACTTCGTATTGAAACGAACGTTAAAAAAGCTTTTAACAATATTTAAATCTTAATGTTTCGCTGAATGAGATGAAATTAAACCAATCAAGTGATAAGGAAAAATGCAAGTTTCCAAAAAAAAAAAAAAAAAAGAAAAATTACAATTCATCCGGTCGATCGTATATAAAAATTTTAATTTCAAGTTATTAACCAGTTTAATATTGTTTAATATTGTCATGTATATCTATAGTAATTTATAAAGGTTTTAAGCTAAACTTTTTTAGTATTAAGATTTTAGATAAATATTATATATAATATGATAATATTAAATTTTGAATTATTTAAAATCTATTATTAATTATTAATAATTTACAATTAATGATATATTTGAATCAAAAGAGGGGTTTTTTAGTTTTTATATTTTATAAGATATTGATAGAATTTATATAGATCAAATAGGATAATTAAGATATATTATAAGATAGTTTAAAATATATAGCTGAGATATATAACTAGTATAGCAATTCTCTAGAATATTAAAAATATACATCACTACTTTATTATAATTAGAGTTCCGAATGAGTCAAGTCGAGTCGAGTTTAAAGACCAACTCTATTCAACTCATTTTTTTCGAGTCGAGTCAAGTCAAATTTATTTTATAAAATCTTTCAATTTGATTTGATTCGAGTTATATAA